CTCGGGACCCCCAGCACGGGCCCCAGGCTCCCTCTCTCACCCCCCCGGACTTCTTTTTCGCCCCTTCCGGGCATGGGTCCAGCGAGCACCCCAAGCCTGGCTGCTACTCGTACAGCTCCTTACCCCGCTCCTACAAGAGCCAGGGCCTGGTGAAGGACAGCGACCAGTACGTCTTCATGAACTCCCCAGGGAGGACGATCCCGGAGGAGGCGGTGTGTGGAGCGGGCCAGTCCCCCACCAGCACCTTTGCCCCCTCCAGCCACACGGTGCCTTCACCCCTGCGGCACAGCCGGACCGAGAGCTTCCTGAGCCAGCGGTGCCAGCGGGCAGCCCGGCCCAGCCGCCTCTCTTTGGAGACCTTGCGGACGATGCTGCCCCGCATGAACGAGCACCCTCTGCCACCCGAACCCAAGAGCCCCGGCGAATACATCAACATTGACTTCGGGGATGCTGCCGTCTATTCTCCCCCCTCGCTGCCTGCCGACAGCCCAGCCTCCTCCCTGGGTTCGGGCACGGGGCAGAGGCGCTCCCCTCTCTCTGACTACATGAACATTGACTTTGGCTCACAGTCGCCCTCCCAGTCGGGCACGGTCTCGGTGGGCTCCCTGGAAGCCCTCTCGCCAGGCTCTTCCTCCAGCACCAGCCAGCCCGAGGGGCGCTACCTGAAGGCGGCTGTGGGGGTGGCTTGTTTGTCCAGCCCGTCCGACAGTGGGGATTACACCGAGATGACCTTTGGGATGGCCACCACCCCACCCCAGCCCATCGTTCAGAAGCCAGAAAGTGCCCGGGTCACCAGCCCCACGGCTGGGGTGAAGAGGCTCACCCTCTCCGGGGTGGAGGCTTTCATTCTCTCCAGCCCTCCCCCAGACCCGAACCGGGGGGCCAAGGTCATCCGGGCAGATCCCCAGGGGCGCAGGAGGCACAGCTCGGAAACTTTCTCCTCCACCACCACTGTGACCCCTGTGTCCCCCTCCTTCGCACACAACCCCAAACGGCACAACTCGGCCTCGGTGGAGAACGTGTCCCTCAGGAAAAGCGAAGGCCTGGAGGAGGAGCAGGGTAGCAGCCCCATGTGCCGGGAGACCTCGGCTGGCTTCCAGAATGGCCTCAACTACATTGCCATCGACGTGATGGACAGGACCCTGGCAAACTGTGATAAAGCCAGGCACGTCCTGAACGGAGGCATCAACGGAGCGGAGATGAGCGCCTACGCCAGCATAGACTTTCTGTCTCATAACCTGAAAGAAGCGAGTGCTGTGAAAGGTGAGTAGCTACGTCTGCCGCTACGTCTGCCAGTGCCTGCCACGCGTGTTCGTGCCTAGTGTTTGTTTCTCACTGCGGGGTTGTGGTTTTTTTTGGGTAGAACGCTGTCCCTCCTCACTTTTTCTTAAAAAAATCTTTTTCCCCGACACATCCTGTAAATAAACAGCCTTGGAGGAGCTCGCTGGCTCTTTGTAGGAGAAAAAGTTTAATTTGGGGATATTTCTTCATGTTTGAATTCTACTGTGCTATTATTATGAGTGTATACTTCTGGGTACCCCAACAGAAGCTAATGTTTACACAGTTACTATGTTTGGGCTCTACTTCAGAGTTTTCTTATGTAAGATTTTGGAAAGTGTTTGGAAAATGTGACCAAAATAGTTTAAGTTAATGCAGCTTCTAAATACTATTTTAAAATACAAAATGATTGAGTTAAAAACCAGGATCGTTGGACCGAGGACATCAGATTACCAAAAAAAAAAAAAATTAAAATCCTTGGCTCTCTAGCTGGGAAGGTCAGTCGTACCAAAATGAGAAGGGTAAGTTTAGTATCTTGGTTTTGAAATATCTTATCTCTTGCAAAAGTTTAACAGTAAATCATGGTGAGGGTGGAATGTGAATTTTAAAAACAAATTATTTCCAGAACTCAATATATGTATAAGCTGTTGCATGTTGTGTCGCATATTTCACTTAAAGGCCCAGCCTATGGCACTGTGTAAGTACGTTCTAGCTGGCAGCTTGGTCCCGGCGTGAATGACCAGTTGGTTGGGCTGCTTTTGTATGGATTGCAAGTGCTGGGTGTCCAAAGGCAAAAGCAGACAGAAGAAATTGGAAACTGAGAGTGAGAGAGAATTCAAGTTTTAGTTATGTAGCTGTTCCTTTGTTGAGGTGCTAGTTAGGCTGGTGTTTTGTGGTTTGTTTTCTTTAAAACAAAAAAAAAGAAACTAAGAAATACACCACCACCCCTCCCCATATAGGAACCCGCCTCCTCTCAGCAAGTGAGAGTTTATACGAGACTGGGGCTGGTTGAGGAGGGCACAGAAGCAGCCAATCTGTCAAGGATTAAAAGTGAACGAGGAGACACCGTGGGGATTCTCTTTGCTCTTGAATTTATGCGAGACGTGGTGCTTTAAGCCCGGACGCATGTATGGCTGCACTAGATGTTTATGGGTGTAGCTGGGTGCAGTGACACTCCACGTAAAAGTAGTTGCCTGGAGGTGGGTAAGGATTGCTTCTGTCCTCACAGAGCTGATGGAGGTCATCGGGAATGAGCGAACAGCGACAGTTTGTAAGAGCCGCTTGCTGTTTTTGGTGTTGTTTTTTTTTTTTTTCCTTGATTTCTTAGTAGCTAGTTGATTTTTGAAGAAGAAAAATATTTTCTCTTTTGATAGGAAGTACAGGAAGATGGAAAAGATGAGAGATCCACCGTTTGCAGAGCGGGCTTTGAACCTAAATAAGACGAGAGGATTGTTGAATGAAATGTCGAAAAGTTTGAAAGGATGAACTCTTATTCTGAATGACTGGAAGGGTTGAGGGCAGAGCCTTTATTTGTCTGTTGCTGTTAGCTTGTTTGTTTGTTGTGGTTTTTGTTTGGTTTGGTTTTTTTTTGTTTGTTTGTTTTTTTGTTGTTGTTGGTTTTTTTGTTTTGTTTTGGTTTTTTTCTGGAGTCGCTTTCAGGGTCCCCCTGGCTTGACCTAGGCCGAGTTCCCGCTCTCCTTGTCCGGCCTTGGGGTCGCGGTCCTGGCCCAGGGAACCGGCAAACTACCGCTCCCCTTGCTTTGCAAACTGCTTTTTTTTTTTTTTTCCACAAAAACGAGGAGTTTTTCTTCAGCCACCTACAGCCCCAACTGCAAAGCAAGCCCCATGTTGGCAAAGAGCTGTTTCCACAACATTCCCCAAACTGCTGACCCTAAAGGGGGGAGGAGGGGGGAAGGGGAGGGGAGCGGGCACCAGTTACCGGGAAAAC